AATAAAACCTATCACCAAAGTAATCCTTGACATGACATTTGGAAATCCTCTCTCCTTCAGGTACTTCTGAAGAGGGTTGTCTTCAGAGATTTTACAAGGAGACACTCTTAAGCACCTCTGCAAGTGTCACAGATCTAGCAGACTCAAGTGGGCAAGTGAGGCACTGGTTTGGGTGCCAACGGCTGGGGGAGCGGGCATCAGCATCTCTGGCAAGAGTATAAAAAATGAAAATGATGCCTCTGTTCATTTGTTTTACTTTGCCAACATACTGCACTTCAAAAGAATTTAGTTGTGCAGTAATTCATAGTGGTAAAGTTCAGGAGAAAATTGGCTGGCTGTACTTCATGGAAGGAAGAAAGTAATTGGTAGCTCACTCAAATTAAGTGTCTTATCTTGATTATGATTTAGGATTTGCATTACCTGTAGCACCTAGGACCTAAGTCATGGATGATAGCCCCATTGTGGTAGGTGCTGTAGAAAAAGACTACCGCTGTCCCAATCTAAGTATGCTCTAAGTACAGTAGAGTCTTACAGTTAGGGGGGTACAGTCTAAGTATGGTACAATCAGTCTGCTCCTGATTGTAAATCTTGCTGGAAAAGTAGGAAGAAAAAACCCTAAACATTTAAGAGCTTGAAGCTGCAACAACTAAGTAAAACATCATTTGAGCAATACCCCTTTTGCCCATCTCTTTTCCTTTCAGTTGTACGGAGGGGATTAGAAGGAAGGCTTATTTGCCTAAACTTCCAAGAGAGTCAGTTGCAAATGACCTTGAATCACTGAAGTCTAATCCAGTTCCCCTCAAAAGAAAATGATGAAATTGCACAAAAGGGGCAGAAAATAAAAAGTAACAAAGATAACTTTGTAGCTTTTGCCTCCTATTTTTTTCTCAGTTAAAAACCAATCAGCTGGAAAATTACAAGCACATGATTTTATTAGTCACTCAAACCTGGAAGCTTTTCCAGTATATTCAAGCTCACTTTTTTGCTTGTCTTTTTGATCACATGATCACAGTATTGTTGAAGGAAAGGTAGTTACTTTGGACTGTTAAGCCAAGCTTTTAGCAGCAGGCAAAACAAGGAAGACAGGAAAGAGGAAAAGAATAGCAGAGAAAGAAAAATGATCCACACGTGAGAGATAGGAGGTGACAACAGGAATATCAGGTACATGTCCTAAGTGTCGTTCAGAATTGAGTCAGATTTGATGATGTTAGTGATGGCTCTCTACACTCCACTCAGGTGAAGGCATCTTTCCAGATCAGGAAAGATCTGATGGCATGATGACAACACTACTACTACAGTGTCTAGCAAGCAATCATAGCCACAAGGGTGCGCTCAGTCCTTCTTCTGCAAGTGATTTTATATATATTTTATTAAACATACCGACTATCCATGGAAAATTTTATTTTTTCATATCCCAAACCTGGAAATGTTTGTTGCTTCCTGGCTGACAAAACAAAATCTTTCTATTCTGAAATATCATTGTGGTGCCTTTCTAATCCTAATCAAGCTTATGAGACAGGCTTCTTAGCCAGAATGCATCTCACACCATGAAGACCAAAGTGCCTTATTGAGTTTTAGACTGACCAGAGGCACTGGCCTAATGGGATAAGGACAGAAGTTACACAGAAACCCATTTAAGTGATCAGAAACTGGTTTCAACCTGTAACAGAACACAAGTTCAGTGCACATAAACCAGTTGCAAAATGGCTGAAACTGGTATGAGATAAATCTAGTTAAATGTAGCATCAGACTTAGCTGATTGAGCTCAAACCAGTTTATGGAACTTCTGTCCCAGACCACTTCCTGGTTTAAGTTAAACCAGAGTCCCCCAGCATCCCAGGATAGTCTGCAGCCCTGGGCTGGGCTGTGCTCTTTGCTCCAGTGGAGCAGGGCTGACCCTGCCTTCCGGTCCCTCGCCAGAGTAGAGGTGGGCAGCAATGGGAGAGTGGCCAGATGCCAGCTTCCCTAAGGCGAACGGGGCAGGGAAGAGATTTATTTTCCACTTGTCCCACCAGCATGGACCTGGCAGGCATTTCTCCATTGCTGCTTTAAATGCTGGAGGGGGTAGGAAGGGAGCTTATCCCACTGCTAGCTCCATGCAGGGAGCAATCGACAGTGGTGCCAATTGGGGCGGGCAGACCCTGGCTGTGGTCTGCTAGGAGCAGGGGAGGTGGAAGGGGAATAAACCTTCTCCCTGCCCCTTATGCCTCAGGGGGCCATGCCGGCCAGCCTCTGGCCATGCCCCCACCCCTGCTGCTGCAGCAGTGGGGGGGGGAGGGGGCACCAAGCGGACCCCGGCCTGGGTCTGTGCTGGTAGGGCAAGGAAGGGGGAATTAAATCCCCCCCCCGGCCGGTTCAATTGAGGCTACTGCCGGGGCTGGCCATGCAGCTAAGGGCACACTCTAGCACCGCCCCAGCTCCTGGCCTGAGCCACTGTAGCATGTACCTGTATTTCCTGAGTGAAAAGTGAATGTGATTGGGTCAATGTAGACTAACCCGCAAAGACTGAATCAATTCAGGCTTTGGCTTTTTGAATGTCTGTCCATAGCCATGAGGAGCATAGGAACATGCATCCTCTAAACCACAACTGCTATGAACCAACCTGTGGGCATTTCTTAAGTGCAGCATTCTATTTTCTTGTGAAATGTCACTGTTCAGCCAAAATATTTCATTAGCTGATATTTTGCTGAAAACTCAAAATTGTCCATGAACAACGGGTCTATTTAGCAACAGCTGACACCTTATTCTATCTAAGCTATCCAGTCCAAACATGTATCCAGTTCTTGTTTCTAGCACTGTCTTAATTTGTTGCTAAAGCACATCTGTAATTTTATTAAAAGCTTGTTTCTATCCCTTACTTTTGCTTAATTTTATAAATACACTAGAACCCAGATACTTCCTAAGAATAGGTTTCTTACCACCCTGTGAAGATAAGGGCTTATAAACTAATCAGAAGCAGGCAGCAAATATTTGCAGAGGACCAAAGTGCTCCAGTTTTTTTGCTATGGCTTTTATTTCAAAGGACACCATTTCTCTGATCAGTTTTGTGGGACCACAGCTGGGTTCCAGCTAATCAGAGAAGTGGTGGCTTCTGAAGTAAAAGCTGGAACAAACAACTGAATGATTCAACCTTACTATGACAAAGCACTACTAACTAAGCAGGTTGTGAATGACCTAGATATAAACAATCTAGGTTCTCATGTAGTTTCAAACACCCAGTTAGATTAAACCCATGACCTTTTGCCTATTTATAACAATTAGGATATGGGATCATAGTTTCATAGTTGGTCGGGTCGGAAGGGACCTAAGCAGATCATCAAGTCCGACCCCCTGCCATGGCAGGAAAGAGTACTGGGGTCAAACGACCCCAGCAAGGTTTTTGTCTAGCCTTGGCTTAAAGACCCCAGGGTAGGAGCCAGCACCACTTCG